GTTGGATTGTATACGATATTCATGTTGACGCAGTCCACGAGACTTCCTCCCTAGTTTCGGGGGAAAACGTGCTGAGCTTTCGTCCATCAAATGATGTACATCATTGGTGCTGGGTTTCATTATTGTACGAGCCTCACGTTAACACTAGGCCAAGAACACTATCCTGCTCTATCTTACTTCTTGTATAGACTCAATTGAGCCAAATGTAAATTGAAAACCTAGATAGATCGGTATAGAGTGGTTTGGCTAATTATCTTTCATACTGGTCCTGCTACTTTTGCTCGTGTGTGTGTGTGTGTGTGTGTGTTAGCGACCATACACAATACCGGTCCTAAATCAGAGTTATCAAAAGGTTAATGTTAGGCTCTAATAACCTCAAATAAAGACTTGACCTAGACTGCGTAAGTCCGTAAGTAAGTATGGCTGAGATAATTATATCTCTATCCAATCATAACGAAAGCCGACAAAGGTGGAGCAGTGGTAGTCGTGGCTAAATCAAGTTATGTAGAAAAGATGTTAGTTCATTTAAATGACAATGACACGCATATACTTTTATTGGGAGACCCAAGGGAAAGACTTAAGACTAGGCTAAAAGATACCCTTAAGGTATGCGTAAGTAATGATGAAATGGAGAAGTGTAAAATGAGTTCATTGTTCCAGAGAGATGCAAGGGCTCCCTAAGGTTCATAAAAGAGGGTATCCCTCTAAGATTAATTGTAAATAATAAAGGAAGCGTGATGCATAAACTCTCACAGTTTATATGCATACAAATAAGGAACTCTGCCAATTATTGGCTATATTCAGTTAAAAATTCGTATAATTTCGTGAAATTGCTAGATCAAGATACAATTTCAGAAGAGGATAGGCTAGTAAGTTCTGACGTTGTGTCCATGTACAGAAACATTCTGGTCAAAGGAGCTATTCAAGTTCTGATAGAAACTCGGAAGGAACATTCAAAGATAACACAAGGAATGAGGCCGAGCATATCTTCCATTATTAGACTTATCAATCTATGCATGACTACCACATATTTTACTTTTGATGGTAAGTTATACGAAAAAACGCAAGGATTAGCTATGGGATCTTGTCTGTCTCCCATTTTAGCGAACAATTATATGGCAAGATTTGAGGAATACTTCATACTAACACCCAAATTGTTGGTTAGATACATGGATGACTAGTTTGTCATCTGACCTCATGGTGAGGACAGTTTAGATAGTTTCCTGCTT